ATTCAAATGCGTTGATTCCGGGCTATCTGCAAAGCAGCTGGTTGTCTTGGGATTAGTCGGCTCGCATAACGGGTTTGAATATTCAGGTTAATAAAAAAAAAAGTTATGAAAGTTAAGTAGGGATCTTCATCACTGGATTCATCATAATTGAATATCAACACTAATGTATGTATCGAATCAGTTCCCGTGATAAGCAGTGGCGGATCCAAGAAATTAATATTTAATGGGAGTGGGGGCACGTTGGACGAGATTTGGGGCAGGGAAGCATATGGCCATATGGGACCGGAGGAAAACCATGTAAGACAAGGGTGAAAATACAAAATTTAAGATAGTCAACAAAAGTTTTTGGCTTTTGACTTGGGGATTTCCCCCCAATTCTAAAAGGCTGGATCTGCCCCTAGTGATAAGTGCAATTTATGGGGCGGAAGTGAGATTAATGTGGCGTTTGTTTTTTAAGAGGTGTTGAAGTCTGAAGTCTGAAGTCTGAATTCACTTCTGAATTTTAAGAGGTGGTTCTGAAGTCTGAAACCTGAATCAGTCAGACTGTTTGTTTTTACGTCTGAAGTCTGAAATCTGAATCAGTCATACCATTTGTTTTTACGTCTGAAATTTGAATCAATATAAACATGAACAATCGTGAACTGTTGACATCGAGAGCATTCGAGAGATCGAGAGCTTGGACGGAGAGGCAGTCAAAAAATCGTGAGCTGTTGACATCGAGAGCTAAGAGCGAGACCTTGAAATCGAGAGTTGAGAGCGAGATGGTGATGGAAGAGCGAGATGGAGATGGAGAAATCGAGAGTTGAGAGCGAGATGGAGAAATCGAGAGTTGAGAGCGAGATGGAGATGGAGAAATCRAGAGTTGAGAGCGAGATGGAGATGGAGATGGGATGCGGCTCTGAAATTGATTTCAGACATAGGATTCCCACTTAATTTTAAGAGGACGGTAAGAGGTAAAAAAACTCTTAATTAAAAAAAAACAAACAGTCTGAAATCACTTATGTCTGACCGATTAAGAGTTAAGAGGCAATTAAGTGAAAATTTTAAAAAACAAACAGGCCCTAAAAGTGATAAGACTCTAGATCTCTTCTTACGTTTTTCACACGATCTTTCGTCTATAAATAGTATTCATGGTATAGATCAAGATAAAAGTTTCTGTTGTCAAACTAACTGATAAATTAGTTGATAACTGAATTAATCTAACTTTTAAAAAAATGTATCATATTATATATGTGATTTATTATTATTATTATTTTATTAGTCTGTATTTATTTTGTATTCTTATATCTGTGCTTTTTAATATATTAATTATTTATAAATTTTTAAAAACTACATAAAAAAAATGTTAACGGATCAATTCAATCCATCTTTACCAAGGTTCCTGTCTGATTTAAAAGGGGCTTATTTAACTGGTTAGATCCGGATGCGTTTTCGCTAGCAGAAGAAGGTTTGGATCTTTAAACCTTAAGAGGATGCTATCGAATGTGCTCTTGACGCACGTGAGGGATTTGGTCCATTTTTTTTCGATTTTGTTCACTATGTCTTGTGACAGCTGATTTAAGCACACATATCAGTATGTTGTAATGTAACACAACGGAATGCGATTGAGTTATCTGTATAATATTAAAAAAAATACATCAGAATAACATAGTTTTTTCAATTTACTGTTATGAACGGGTTTTTTCTTAATTAATATAATAAACCTTCAATATTTTCTATTTTATACTAATAATCTATTGATTTTATAACATTCGATGGCATGCATGTGAAATTGATATTTATAACAGCTTCTTCGAAATGGGAAAAATGAGTATTTTGAGCCAATATTTTGCTCCAACGGTTTCGCGAAAACTATCTCCAAAATGGAGAAAGTATGAGAGAGAAGGGTTTTTTCTCCAAATATGGAGATCACCGCAAAAATGATTATCAAGCGAGAGCACTAATAGAAAACTTTAAAAATAAATATTTAGACAGAAAAATAATATTTTAATATTATAATCAATGTTGGATTCTCCAAAAATGGAAAATCTGTTGGAGATGAATGTATTTTTTTTAGATTTTGACTTTTAGTTATCCATTTTAAAGAAATTATAGGGAATCTGTTGGAGATGCTCTAAAGGGTCGTTTACTAATTTCTTATCCGGGTAAGCGTTTATTAAGTTAGATTACCTTACCGTATGAATATGGTAAGTAGGGGTGACCAGCGGAACCGGGTACCCGGTTATGGAACCGGAACCGCCGGTTCAGGAATCGGAACCGATATGAGTGGTTCTGGTTCCGGTTTCTAAAATACGGAACCGATTGAGAATGGTTCCGGTTCCGGTTCTCAATTTTTCGGAACCGTTACCCGCCGGATACCCGATATTTTTCAATAAAAAAATAATTATTATTTTTTAATACCAAATTTATATTAGGTTTACATCTTGAAAGCACGCCGTCATCTTCATTCTTCCTCTAAATTCTTCATATAGAATGATTCGTATTTTTTAAAATTGTGTGTTCACTTGGATTCATAGCATGTAATCGTTAAACTTTGAACATTTACCATTATAGTATGCAATCGTTAAACTTGGAACATTTTCTATTAGTCTATTATGGTTTGTAATCGTTAAACAATATTTATAACCATTATTATGTATAATTTATATTCTTGCTTAATTATTTAGTGTTTTGACAATGTTTTATTTTTTATTTCTAAATAACAAAATTTTAATATTTTAGGAAGCGGGTACCCGGAACCGGAACCGGTTCCTGGCGGTTCCAGTTCCGATTCCAAAAATTTAAGAACCGCTCTAACCGGTTCCGGTTCCAATATCTCAAGAACCGCCAGTTCCGGTTCCTGTCAAAAAGGGCGGGTACCCGCCTATGCTCACCCCTAATGACAATAACCAAAAATCTTACCCGGTAAGTGAGGGCAATGACTCTTACCACAATTAACACTTACCGGGTAAAATTGTTGCATATGATGCCGTTTTTGTTGACTAAAATCTTGTCCGTTAAGTAAATGATAGTGTAAATTTTACAGATAAGTGCTTATCGGGTAAGTGTTTGGTAAATGGCCCCTACGTAAAACTAATTACATGAAATAACAAATGAGGTCAAAACTGATTACTTGGACTATTTTGATGTGTGAGTGTAATCCATATAAGTGAGGTCTCGAGTTTAAGCCTAGACACAGCTCATCTGCCAACGATGGACCTAGGTTTTTGCTGAGCGGGTGGCACCCTTAGGGTGCATTTGTTACACTGACATGATAGTACTGAAAATAACAGGAATTACTGTTCTATGTTTGACATAATTTTTTATGTGAAGCAGACAGGAACAGAGTGGACCAGACTTGTTCCACCTCAACCCAATGAAACAATCAGGAAGAAGGTGAAATAGACTTATATTTTACTAATATAATTTCAAAATAAAATCCAATTCTCTTCTAAAACATCAAATACATCATCGTCTTTATATTTTATTCATTCTTTAATTTTTATTTACTGTATTTTAAACTCTTTAAACTTTCGATCTACTGTACTAAAAAAATTGTTTTTAAACAGTTTATATATTTTGATTATTATGTAATTTATTAATAATAAAAATTAATATAGAAAAGGTATAAAAAATTGAAAATTACATAAACTTTTTATATTTCCAATTTTTATTTTGATGTCATTTTAATCGTTATGAAAAAGTTTTTTTTTAATGATATATTTTGTTATAAAAAATATTTATTTTTATTATAGTTTAATAAATTACATAATTAATCAAAATATTTAAACAACTCATTAGGGGTAAATTGATCATTTTATTTGTTATGTCTTGTCTAATTCTATCTTACCAAACGCTGAACAACTGTTTTGGCTTGTTTTATTATGTCCTATCCTAATATGTTCTATCATGTCTGCATACTAAACGTACCTTTAAGGTGGATCAAATGCCCGCAAAGTCGTCAAATATGTTTTTAGTTGATTTCGAGAGACCTTCAGGTTTTTTGATTGATTTCAAGAGATTCTTTTTGGTTGTTTTCGAAGAATTTTTTCAGTTTTTTGTTTGATATTCTTTGTATTTTTTGACATTCGGGACCCTCCTTCAAAATAGTCCAATAACAGCACAATATTTACAACAATAAATATTTATCTGAAATGAAATTAACAGCACAATTAATATTTGTATAACTTATTATTTTAAGAAGACCCTATAATAATACTTGAAAACTTATTATTTTTGTCTGTATATTGTTTGTTCAAATGTGTTATAAATTAGCAAAATTTATGTGTAGAATTTGTATAAACTAATAAAAGTAAGGATATTATTAAAAAAGTATATAAGTTAAGAATATGAAATATATATACTTTAAGTAATTTATTTGATGCAAAAAATAATATAATACGTTATTGGAATTGAACTACTACAGTTTACACAAAGTTTTACACCATTTTGTTGGAAGAAACTGTGCAAATGATTGGATATGAACTAACACCATTTGAACAGTTTTACAAACCCTAAAATATATTTGCGTTTTTTTCTAGTTTGAGCATGTTTTAACGTTTCCGCACAGGACATCAAAAAGTTTTTGGCTGGCCCTGGGTGAACGGACCTGCCTCTCCCAATAAGATGCATGCCATAAGTTACCTCTCCATGATAACGATTCACCTCATAATGATTCAGAGCTTGCCTCTTAATGAAACTATTAAGAGGTAAACAAACAATCTCTTAATCATTCTACACAAAATCATCTAACAATTGTCAAAAAATTCCTAAAAAATCTCATTAAACTCATGTAACTGTTAGCAAACACACCTTTAAGCTAACAAGTGATTTAATAGGTAAAATATATACGAAATAAGAAAATAAATTAAATATTTATTGAATTTATTTTTTAGACTGAATAAAAAACTTTAATGTAATTTAATGATATAAAATATGATGTTACAGATACATTTAAGCCCTCTTATCACGTGAAATCAGCCGTCTTCATCTTCTCCACCTCCATATATATCCCCTTCTTCCTGTAATCTGTTGTAGATTCATAACAAACCAGAAGCCCTACTTTCGCCATTGATTCTGCTGCTGTAAGCTCTCATTATATACAGATTTTCAATCGAGATTCGTTGATCCAGTGGAAGAAGTGAGCATCGGGGGAGATAGAGAGTGGTATCATTAGTATACAGAGAGAGAATTGCTTCTGTATGTCAGTAGATTGTACGCACTGCGATTACTACGGTGGATTTGGTGAGCTTGCTAACCCCCTACAATGGCCTCAACTTCGCAAAAGGCGCCGCATTCTTCCGATGATTCACTTCCGATCCACCGTCAGGCGGTTTCGGCTGACGTCGTTGTCGTCGACAACTGGCATAATAACGAGAAGAAGACGCCGATCAAGAATTCATCAATCATTTCCTTGATCAATCCTGCTGATCCTTCCGCTAATGCTTCCACTAAAGGTATTTTGCTTCTCTTTGTTTGCATATGTGTTGATGTCAATTCGTATAAAGTCGACATTTAGAAACATCTATATATGTGTCTGTAGGGGTTTGTTATCAAGGTTTTTTGTATGTATCGGTATATACGTATATGTATATTTGTACTGATTAAGCTATCAGTACGGATACTGTCGTATGTACAGCTACGAGTATTTTGGCGGATGAACAGGACTGCGTATGTCGTTCTAAGTGCATATTAATACAATATCGTCTGAGATTTTGGAATCTGCTGGTCTGTGTTTCTATTGTTGATTCGTCACCTTTGTTTGATCGTATATGGATTGTCTTTCCCAAATGGTTAGAAATTGTATCGTCCATCTGTCTCTAGAAAGAATTAAATCCTTGTGTTGGTTGGATGTTTACGAATGATTCTAGCTTAGGAGAAGAAGGGTGGTTGTGGATTAGTTGATTATCGTCGTGTTTAAGAGCTACATTCTACAAGTTGGTGAAATTGGAAGTTGTGGTCTATCCGCACTCCATATCCCCCTAGTTTGCATAGGAGAAGAGAGATAAGACAACCAGTATTGCTCAAAAAAGTCATCTTGTTGCTCCAGTAGTTGGCCATTTATCTTGCTTTTAGCTGTAATAGTGATCAAGTCGTTTATGGCAATTGTAAGACACTCTGGTTTCATAAAACTGGATGGAGCTTACTATTGGATGGTTTCCACCACTTTACACAGGTGTATGATGTTCTTGGCCATGCTGCAGTTATCTAATCACGCCGTCAACACACATGAATGAAAAGAAAAGCAATATGTGCATGTGTTTATGCTGTTTCATTAAGTTTTTCTTTTCCCCCTTTCTCTAGTACTATGGCAAGCATAAGAATTCTATCTTTACCTATTCATTGTCTCTATCCAATATGTAATATCATGATGTTGTCTATATCTAATATGTAATATAATAAAACGTTGCCTCGGAAAAGGTTTATGGAAAGACGATCACCTCGAGTTTGCTAGAGAATCTTGTGTATTACATGCTCCAGTATGTAACATGGCTGGAGCAACTGAATGGTATAAACTCTAGCAAACCATTGCATACTACAAGGTTTTGTCTAAAAGCTTCCTGAATGCTGCTTTGAAATAGGTTGGAAAGGCATAAAAGAGAAGGCCTTTTTCTTTTATTTGGCTTTTATATTTATGGTCTGCAGTTGACAAACATATGCTCTGTTCTTTTAGGAATCCAAATCCTCACAAGGGCTCAAACTAGCCATCCTCTGGACCCATTATCTGCTGCTGAAATTAAAGTGGCTGTGGCAACTGTCAGGGCAGCTGGAGCGACCCCTGAGGTATTCATTGGATTATGATGTTATACTCAAATCATCTTAATCATGGGAATGTCATACTGATTATGACGGGCTTCATGAATCGTTTCACTTTCTTTTCAGGTCAGAGATGGTATGCGTTTTGTGGAGGTGGTTCTATCAGAACCAGATAAAAATGTTGTTGCACTTGCAGATGCTTACTTTTTTCCACCATTCCAACCTTCATTGTTACCCCGAAGCAAAGGTGGAGCTGTAATACCTAGTAAGCTTCCTCCAAGGAGAGCTAGGCTTGTTGTTTACAATAAAAAATCAAACGAGACAAGCTTATGGATTGTTGAACTCTCTGAGGTACATGCAACAACTCGAGGTGGACATCATAGGGGAAAAGTCATTTCATCACGAACTATTCGAGATGTTCAGCCTCCCATGGTAGTCCTTATTCTTTCATATCATGTTATATTATGTTGATGCTTTCTTTTTGTATAATCCCATGGGAGTATAGAAACAGTGCTGCAAATTAATGTCTTAAAGGCTTGTTTGTTGCTATATGAAAAGTACTTTAGTATTTGAGTGTACTTATGTTGGAAGAGTACAGGATGCAAGTTTGATAGCATAATCTTGTGTCGGTTGAACAAAACTTAGGAAGCTGAATGTTACTTACGCCAGAGTTGTACTTGTTTTCCGTTAAGAACACCAGTAAAAGTTGGTTATCACTAAACAGTACTACAGGTCGGTCATCCTTATGAGAACTTATGGGGAATTATAATTTCATTTGATACTTTTTGATTGCCGGAATGAAGCAAATCAGTTAATCTTTGTTTAGGAATTATAACTATCAGCGGAATAAACAACAGCAGCTCCTTCTATAAGGAAAATATGTTATATCTTCTAAAATTTCAAGCCATGGCTATAAGTGTTTGATACATTCTCCTCATTTGCACTTGAAATGAGTGTGAGAGGTCCGAAAAGCAGGTTTAAGCTATGGACCATCCCTTACAGATCAGAACAGCTGTGTGGTTTAATTTCTTTTTTTAGTTCGTTTTTGTATGTTCCCAAAGAAGATTAACATTATAGGTGTCCACATTCTTTCCCATCACAGGATGCTGTGGAATATGCTGAATGCGAAGCTGTTGTGAAAGATCACCCTCCCTTTCAGGAGGCTATGAAGAAGAGGGGCATTGAAGATATGGATCTTGTGATGGTTGATGCTTGGTTAGTTCACTTGTGATAATGTTTTGAAGTACACATCTATCTATTCACATATTACAATGGAACTTATCACATGCTGTATTTGCATGAAAAATATTAGGTGTGTCGGTTATCATAGCGAAGCTGATGCTCCTAGCCGCAGATTAGCAAAACCACTTATATTCTGCAGGACAGAAAGTGACAGTCCAATGGAAAACGGATATGCACGGCCAGTTGAAGGCATCTATATTCTAGTTGATATGCAAAACATGGTAGTACTTGACTTTGAAGACCGCAAACTTGTTCCTCTGCCTCCTGCTGATCCATTGAGAAACTACACTCCTGGTCATACACGAGGTGGTGTTGATCGAAGTGATGTAAAACCCCTACAGATTCTTCAGCCTGATGGACCAAGCTTCCGTGTTAATGGGCAGTATGTGGAGTGGCAAAAGGTAGCTACTCTTTGGTGAAATCTCATCTTAATTTTCCTTTTCAGTACAATTTACTTGTTAAACAAGCCTTTTTTTTTGTATTTGGTGGTTGACAGTGGAACTTCCGTATTGGGTTCACTCCAAGAGAGGGTTTAGTAATACATTCTGTTGCGTATGTTGATGGTAGCCGAGGTCGAAGACCCATAGCTCATAGATTGAGCATTGTTGAGATGGTTGTGCCCTATGGTGATCCAAATGATCCACATTATAGAAAGAATGCGTTTGATGCAGGGGAAGATGGCCTTGGGAAAAATGCTCATTCTCTTAAGAAGGTATGTGTCATTTGTATTGTTGTGTTGGAGTTTTAAGGATTCCTACAGATGATTGGATAATTAGAGATTTTTACAATGTGTCTATGCTCACAATATTGGTCTCCTCAGGGATGTGACTGCTTGGGTTATATCAAGTACTTTGATGCGCATTTTACAAACTTCACTGGAGGCGTTGAAACAATTGAAAATTGTGTATGTTTGCATGAGGAGGATCATGGTATCCTTTGGAAGCACCAAGACTGGAGAACTGGCTTAGCAGAAGTACGAAGATCTCGGCGACTCACAGTGTCATTTATATGTACTGTGGCCAACTATGAATATGGTTTTTATTGGCACTTTTACCAGGTGAGTTAATTTCGAAAACCAAGTTTACATGTCGAGTGATTTTGTACTCTGGTGCATCTTGATCTGTGTTAGTATTTGAACTGTTTGCTTCATACTTATAGATTGCGTACCTGCTTTTGTGGAAGGTTGTTCCTTGTTCTAAATGTGCAAATCTTTGATCTTTGAAGCTTTCTAGATATAGCCTTGAGTGACTGCTGTCTTCTGTTTGAATTCTTTATTCTATAATTCAATTTCATCCTGAGCACGTGTATTTCTGAAGTGTCAAGCTAAGCAGTTGAAGATAACTGTTTGCATGGAGTTGAACTTTTTTCCCTTCTTTCTCTTTTCTTCCCTCATTAGACCGTACATCTTTCTTGGTATATCCAGATAATAGAACCCCATGATTTTCCCAATCTAAGTCAAGCAGGTTTTTACATTTTCCTTTCTTTTGTGCCTATGTAATTTTGTAAGGATTTGTTGCATCCACTATTCATTGTTCATACTGTCTTTAATGTGTTCTACTTACTCTTTTTCTTGGCTTTTTAATTACCTTTTGATTATTGATCAACTTACAGAACCACAGCCACTTCAATCTCTACCTCGTACTAAGTGAGCCATGATCAAAACCATTTTTCCTTGTTACATCTTAAATTATGTTTTCATATATCATCAGCGAACTTTGCACTGAGGGGGAGTGGGTGTATAGTTGAGCTTTCTGATGACCCAGTTGACCACATGGCATTTTCTTTGGGTTCACATTGCATAAAGATTCACACAAGCACTGAAACTATGTGATTATCCTTTGGCCGTCTGCCACCATGTAGTTGCATGCACTGTTTTCCTGTTTGTGCAGTTTTGCATAAAGATTCATACCAGCATTGGAACTATGTGATTATTTTTTGGCTGTCTGCCACCATGTAGTTGCATGCACTGTTTTCCTGTTTGTGCAGTGGTAGTTGTTTTTTTTTATTAACCTGGATATCCAACCCGATGTGAGCCGACTAATGCTAGGGCGACCACCCGCTTCGCTGGTAGCCCGAAGTCACCGTATTTAAACCTCCGTGGCCACAAGGGGATTTTTATTCCTCCTTGGATTCGAACCTGGGACACCCAGGCACTTTTGACCTTTGGAGCCCAAGCTCAAACCAATCGGGAACCACCCTTGTGGTTAGTGGTAGTTGGCTTTGGTTTACCTATTTACTATTTATCCCCATGAAATATGTTGTGTTCATTTGCAGGATGGAAAGATTGAAGCTGAAGTTAAACTTACAGGAATTCTCAGCTTAGGAGCACTGCAGCCTGGAGAAGTTCGAAAATATGGTACAACTATTGCACCAGGATTGTATGCACCAGTTCATCAACACTTTTTTGTTGCTCGTATGGATATGGCGGTTGATTGCAAGCCTGGAGAAGCATACAATCAGGTACATCATACATGCCATGATTGAAGATTGAACATCATCAGTATTTTTCAAACCACATCAATGTTATTTTTTGGATAAAGGAGACATCAATGTTCTTTTACACTGTTAGACGTCTATCTGAAAACTATAACAAGAAGTTCCACATTTATGTTGCAACTGGTCTTGTGTTTTGTTCTCCAGGTTGCTGAAGTTAATGTCAAAGTTGAAGAATCTGGGAAAGATAATGTCCATAATAATGCATTCTACACCGAGGAGACATTGCTTAAAACTGAATCTCAAGCAATGCGTGATTGCAATCAGTTATCTGCTCGTCATTGGATTGTAAGCATCTTACTCTTTACTTTTCCCTTCCAATAAAGACATCTTTAAGGATTATGCTGCTTTATGAGCTTTTTTAGTCGAAGTTTCTAACCTGATTTCACCTGTAAAGATGAGAATTGTCAAAGACCTTCCAGCCTAGTGGTAAAGGCTTGGGCATGGCATAGTCATGAACCCGAGTTCGAGCCCTGGGAGGGGAGTGTTGGCGACATTTAAGTGGGGCCTTGTTTAGCCTCCAAATTTGCCCGGGATTAGTCGGGCTTTGGCCCGGACACCCTTTTAAAAAAAAGATGAGAATTTGTCAGGTGTGTGTATATTTTTATGAAATGGTATTTGCTCATCTTTCCCACTCTGAAAATCGATGGTAGGTGGCAAGAAGCAAATATAATGAACCGTTTAACAGATATTGATCAAACTAGAAAGCAATTGATAATGCAAGACTGCTGTTCTAATCTACAAAAACAGCTATGGATGCCCCCATTCTCTATGTTGAATTCAGTCATGTTGGTAAATCAATTCGTATATTATATCATCGAGGGTTTGCCAAATGAACTGTTTAATTGCTAAGTGTGTTTTTTATTTGTTCTTTTAGGTTAGAAACACGAGGACTGTGAATAGGACCGGACAGCTGACTGGCTATAAGCTTGTACCAGGTTCAAATTGCTTGCCTTTGGCAGGTTCGAAGGCCAAGTTTTTGAGAAGGGCTGAATTTCTGAAGCATAATCTTTGGGTTACACCCTACGCACTTGACGAGAACTTTCCTGGAGGAGAGTTCCCTAACCAGAATCCACGTGTTGGTGAAGGGCTGGCCTCCTGGGTCAAGCAAAATCGTTCTCTTGAAGAAACTGATATTGTTCTTTGGTCAGTTAACCATTTTGCTTAACTTATTTGTTTTTTCCTCAACTCCTTTGATTATCCTGTTGATCATGTACGATATAGTATATACACGATATACAGCTTAGGAGCAGGTCCAAATTTGAACTATAATAAACCTTGGAACCAACTATTTATGAATTATTCATGATGAATAACTCTAAAATAAACATGAATGTTTATTCATCATGAATATCATGATTTTCATTATTCATGATACTCATCATGAATAATTCATAAATATTTGGTTCTCAGGTTTTCAAAATATTTACGGTTCTCATTCGAATCTGCCCCATACTGCTTAAAACCTAGTTGTGTTATGCATGGGAGGAGGTGAACAGTTGAAAACAGGCTGTAGGCTGCTTGGTAATGCAAAACACTTTTGATTGGTGCTAAAATCATCATTTGCTGGTACATTGAAACTTTAAGGTACACTGAGAATTGATACATATAAAGGAACATTTTATTTTACTCCAAACTGCACCTGACATTTTACTTGTGTTCTGGCATTTAAAACACATTACCTGCCAATAGTTGTTCATGAAATGAGAAAATAATATGTTTATCGTATAGAGGCGGTTCTTGAGTGGGGGGGGGACCTAGAAAGTAGTAGTAATTTACTATAATATCCACTTCAAGAGTACATTAATTTGTCGTGAACCTTCAGTGTCTGGTTGTGAAAACTTTTGTTCACACACGTCTCTGTTAATTGTTTTATGGAAACAACCGCTCTACTCTTAAAAGATAGAGGTCAGGCTGCGTATATTCCCCCCCCCCCCCCAATTTTGGGGTGGGATATACAGGGCTTGTTTGGTTTGGTTTGGTTAATGGTCAAGTTTGCAAGTGTGAGAATTATCCTTCCTATTGACTTGATCTTCGAATTTGCAGGTATGTATTTGGGATCACTCATGTTCCCAGATTAGAAGATTGGCCTGTTATGCCAGTGGAGCACATCGGCTTTATGCTTCAGGTACGTGTTTGCTGTTGTATGGTTAGCCTTTCGTTATATAAATCGTGCTATGGTCAATATCACAAGTACATTAAACTGCGGTGATCCTTTAATGTCCACATGCATCTTCCCTTTCTCCTACATGTGAATTGATCATCACCCCACCATCAGAATTGACTCGACATACGTTAAATCAATAGCTATCACGATATCGACCTTGCCCCATTTTGACAAACTCACTGAAGTTAATAAAACCAAGGTTCTAATTGGCATGAGATTGAGCCTTTTGAGCCATGGTGAGAACACAATGTTTTTCAAGGTGCGACTTATAACGGCAGATCTATATATCATGTATATAATTATATATACACATGTTTGTACCATTACTTTGATATAAGCCCACATACAAGTAGGTTATATTCTAAAAGCGAAAAAGTAAAACACTAAAAAGGTGAAAGAAAATTAAAAAGTAAATGAAGATCAAATAACGTCTTACAAAAAAACACGCCTTGGACCATCGGATATGTCATAAGGATAATGTGGCGTTAGTGATGAGCCTTGCGCCACGATGGTTGCCATGGCGCTCTTTTTAGAACACGGGATAAAAAGTCAAAACATGTCTCATTTTGTCAATGCAAATTTTCCCGGTTAACATAATTTGATCCCACGTTGTTTGGATAAAAGGAGCAATGAATGCAGAATCTGCAATTTTGGTCGTTAAAAAACAATAGTATTTGGCGATCCCTACAGGGTTATCACAGGACTCTTGGATATATTTAGAGGTAGGCTAATGGACACCTGTGATTGCCAAATACACATCTATATATAAATATATAAATCCTCCTTGACACATCAACATCAAGAGTACTTTTGTTACAACTCCGACCTGCGATATGACTTGATTTTGATTTTGATTTATATAGGGTGCATATAGCAACACTCTATAAATATCCTCACGCACATCAACATAAAGAGGTTCTTTTTACATTTTTAATGTACGATTTGACATGATTTTGATTTGTATAGGTGTGCATAGCAACACCGTAATGCTATTTTCACCCTCTTTTATGTTAGAATATGGTCAATTCATGCATTGAAAATGTAAAAAGTAGGTCCTGATGTTATGTGGGTGAGGAAGAAATTCTTGGTAGCCGGTAGGGGTGTATTTAGCAATACATAGGGGTGTTAACACTATATATTGCTAAATGCATCTCTACCTATAAATTTATTCTTCAGGACCTACTTTTTCCATTCCCAATGCATCAAAACAATTCGATAGGGGTAGTCGTTGAACCATACCACATAGTTCACCCGACCCGACAATACCCATTTGGGGAACGTCCAGTGCCAAAGTCACTTAGTGATAATTTGATTCTTCGTCGCTAATTTGACTTGGTGCTGACATAAAATCGGGTGCAAATAGCATTACCCTGATTTGGTGAGAGGGACTGTCTTTATCTCATGCACAGTTTCACAAGGCTAGGAGTACTAGCAGTACTTTTCACCTGTCTGTTCAACACCCTTGGAACCTTGGCTTTACCCCAGATTCCTACGTAATCCCCTCACTGGTCCCTGTCCTGCTACCAACAACTGAGAAAATGTGGGTACATCGTTGCATTATGTTATTTTGTTAAGACTTCTGCAACAAACCAATCTAATTTGTGGTCAATAACAGATTAACAAATTTGACCAATTTGTTGTACCACACCATTTCTAACCACGTTTTCGTAAAGGTGAGGAGGCGGTGGGGGGAGGTAAAATCGAAAACTAGGGCGTTCTTACCTATTGCTGACCGATACTGATTCCGTCAGCTAGTTTACCAACACACTCTGACCTACAAGTATGCTGTAAACAACCATTTTCAGTCATTGCATATACCCAGACCGAACCTCTTGCCTGAACCGTACTTTATAAGGGGTTGGATATCTCTTCTATCGGAAGCGTTTTAAACCGTGATTCCAAATGTGGATAAAGCGGACAATAGTTAGTACTGTTGGCCGATAATGTTACAAATGGTATTAGAGCCAGGAACTCAACAGTGTGCCAGCGTCTCCTTGAGAGCGGTGGATTTTCAGATCCCATATCGATTGGAGAGGAGAACAAAGGTTATAAGGGGTTGGATACCTCCTCTATTGGACACATTTTAAAATCTCTAGTCTTCGGTGTGGATAAAGCGGAAATGTTTGGTACGGTTGGCTGGGGATGTTACACTCACCCAAACCATGTTTATCTCTCTTCCAAAGATGATCTTTAACGCCGTTGTGTTTCGTAGTTGCCGCATCGTTTTCAGTTTACATTTTGCCAATTTTAGTCCCCCCCCCCCCCAAATCATCATAATCCATTTGCTAATCTTTGTTAAAATTCTATTTGGTGCAGCCACATGGATTCTTCAACTGCTCACCAGCAGTTGATGTCCCTCCAGGAGCATGTGAAGCCGATACGAAAGACAGCGATGTTAAAGAAGGCGTTGCTCCCAAGCCCGTTTCAAACGGTTTGATTGCGAAGCTTTGACGTTTACGCCAACCAAACCGTCTCTTACCTTTCTTTATCTTTTAGCCTGTCTGTCCTTCATCCGTAGTTCAAATTCGTACTATTTAAAAAACTGGACTTTAGTTATCTAAATTTGACCCGGTCCCGGTTCGGGTTCGGGTTTGGGTTCGGTTTCGGTTTCTTTGCTTTGTCTGCTACTGAATATACTCCCTCATTTCAATTTCAGTTTTTATCATCTTATCATGCCATTTTGCCAAGCGAGAAATCTTACCTGATAAATGAGGTTGATGAATTTTTACTAGTATGTTATTTTAATGATCGAAAATCTTATCAAGTAACGGTTTTTTAATCAGTTTGTGTTGGTAAAATCCCTTAAGTATCTGTTTTTCAATTTTATTTTTAATTATTAGATAAGAAAAATAGTTACTTTATAATTATTATTTAATTAATTGAAAAATATAATATAATAATTATATATTTATTAAAATGTTCTTTTTATATTATAGATATTTATTTTGTTACAAGTAATCCCCATTTTGGTCAAATCTCTACTTTTCCCATATTTTTTTTATTAATCTGGATATCTAACCTGCTATCAGGTAGTATAGAGTTGTTGTATTTGAACCTTCGTGACTATAAAGAAATTTTTTATTTCTTCTTGGATTCGAACCTGCGACCACTAGGTACTTTTGACATTTGGAGTCCAAGCTTAAACCAATCGGGCATCACCCTTGTGGTTCACTTCATTTTTTTTGAATCAATGAGAATGGCATGACATTTATCCGGGAATTATCTAAATTTTTTAAAGGATTTTAGGAGCCGTTTATTAAATGTGTATCTAGTAGGCGTTTATCGGGTTATTTACCTTATTGTATGAAGATGACAATGACCGAAAATCTTATCCGATAAGAGTGATGATAAGGATGAAGAGTCTTACTCTTACCTGGTAATTAAGGACGGCGACTCTTACCCGGTAAATGCTCCTAGGTAAATTATTGTATATGATAGCGTTTTATACAATTTTACCCTATAAGTACCTACCAGGTAAACTTTTAAATAAACGACCCCTTATTCTAAAAAATAAAATGATTATTTTCATAAAAACCATAAAAAAAACCCGACCTAAATCCATTTTCATTGTCATATATCATATATCCATCAAGTAATTGTGAATGGAACTAGGTTTGGGTTTTACAATAATAATATGGCCCACAATGTTGTAGATGCTCCTTTGGTCTACTTTTTATTGGATGCCTTTACATTGTTGATTACACTCTTGTTTGTTTACCTTTTAATAGTTTTATTAAGAGACAATTTTTGAATCATTAAAAGGTGAATTTTGTGTGGCAAAAAAGTTTGCTTCTTAATGGTTTAATACCCCCTGAATGATTTTGTATGAACCATTCGGTGCCATAATTCCATTGTAAACAATTACCGAACAACTATATTCCATTTTGCACTATATCATGAAAGTCTCTTAATCGTTCAACAACTGCCAAACAACCCCTTAGTAATTTTCTCCTCACATACATCAACATCAAAACTCACTTTTTAACATTTTCAAAGCATTATTTAACTCATTTTAACATTAAAAGAGGTGCAAATAACAATCAACCTACCACTACCACTGCCACCACCGATAAAGTCCTTGTTAGAAGTACACCTTGAGACTATATGTCTACATTATTGGTTTCCTTCCTATAATAAGACCCCCCCTTCTATTTCAAGCCATTGCAAATAATCCATCACGAACCTTTTTATTTAACTAAAAATTATTGCGCGATCTTAATCATCACGACCAGTTGTTGGACGAACATGGAAGCAGTAACTCGTAATCGAGATCGTTGAAATCGTGTTTCGGATGGAAATAGGAATTCGACACGACAATTGAAATAATTGGTGTTTTGGATGTAACTAAAAACGATGGGCAAAACATCAAAATACATAACAAAGGACTTGGACTGCATATTCGTATTTTAGATTCTCTACATATTTATTTGTTGAATAAAAAGTACAAGAAAATATATTTTATTTTCTTCTGTTTTAAAATAAATATTTATTATTTTTATTTTGTTTCATAATAATTTTTCACTTTTAAAAATGTGGAATTCGTTGGAGCACTTAGGAACAGGTCTTCCAATTTATAATTTTAAATCTTTTTTATGTAAAACCTGTTTGATTTAGATAAAAAAAATATAAAAAAAGGAGTCGACTGCTCAAGGGTTTATGTACAAAGAATGGACAAACCCTTATGGGTTGTATCTGATGACATGGAAAGAGATGTTTTTATGTCCTAAGAAAAGGAATTTGTCCATTTTTTGGCAGGTACCCTTTTGTTGAAGGTCGTTTGACCTTTTTCCTGAGAGTATGACATGGGTTACTTCAGCGCTGTAGCGTAACTACTTGAAATTCAACGAATCCTCTGTTTTCTTTGAGCGATCTCATTTTTCTCATTGGGTCCGGGTAGAGACCAAAGATCTTGAGTGTCTGGGAACATATTCCAACTAATTCCCGGAAAAATACAATATTCAATAAAAATAAATAGGAGACTGGTAATTACTAATGTTGTTGTTTTTTTAAGTATATGATATTTATATATGACAAATAGAACAAATAAATCACACATCATTCTCACATTTGGTGATGTTTGAACCATTGACCTCCTACGAGGTCAATGACTCACATACTGCTAGACCAAAGACCATTTGGTACTAATGTTGTTGTTTATTATGGGATGAAGAAATACATTAGTTTATTTATTGTTAATGATAAAATTATTATTTAATTGATTAAAAAGTGCAATAATTGCATATTTTATTTATATATATATATATATATATATATATATATATATGTGAGTGAGTTCAAATAAAAAACACTCAATTTGTAAAAACCGTGAAAACCTCATTTAACCAATCATAATTTTTCATTTTGTTCATTTTTTTGTAATTATGAGAGGTTGATTAACTGTTTTTTATTGTAGAGGGTGTTAATTATGGATATTATCATCTTCATTATTTTAATTTTAGAGAAACACATGAAACAGTTTCATTAAAATTTCATTAAGTAGTATAGGAAACAATTTCATAACCACATATGAAACAACTTCATCAAAAAAAGTATTATATGAAACAATTTCATAACCACATATGAAACAACTTCATCAAAAAAAGTATTATATGAAACAATTTCACAAGATTAACAATTTCATGAAAAAATTTCATAAGATTAACGACGGATGAAAGTAGTTTTTACAAATTGAAGTGGTTTCATTTGATCGCTCCTCCCTATATATATACATACATATATATATATATATAAGGGTCTAATTAAATAAAAACTATTTTGTTTGTAGTAACCGTGAGGTCTAATCTCAACCACAAATCAAAGGTTAAATTAGGAAATTAACAATTTTGGTAATTTTAACTTAAAATATTAATTAAGGGCATTTTAGGGGTTTTATAAATATCCTCTCTCATCTCTCCTATTTTCTCTCTTCAGCGAATCTTATTTGACGAACTTTATTCCGATAAATCTTATGTCAATACAAGATACACACTATGATACCTACAAACGATATTTATTGTGATACCAGATATACATACAAGATGCACAATGTGATAGCCTTTGTAAAACAATGAAAATAATAAAAATGCACACTATGATACATTTCATAAAACAAATAAAATACATTGTGATACAAGTGAAACATTGTGAACGTTATCACTATGATACATTTTGATTCACAAACATCTTTAAAATATGATGTGTATTATGTAACTGATATAGTAGTTAACTAATTTTAATTAAATATTTCCTTCAAAAAAATTTAATTAAATACTTTAATTAGTTGTCAAAAATATAATTATTATATTACTTTTTTAGCTTATTTAAGAAATATCATTAAATATTTCAAATGAGTGGTTCACATTGGATCTCACAGTTAGTACAAACTAATCAGTTCTTTCTTGAATGACTCCTATATATATATATAGAGAGAGAGAGAGAGAAATGAGCGTTCAAATAAAAACCTGTCCCATTTGTGTAAACCATGTAAATCAATCTCATCCATCCATTTTCTTGATCAATGACCAAGATTAGTTTACTTTATTTTAGGAAATTAAAAAAATATATATTAAAATTTTATTTTATTTCAACAGTAAGGGCAAAAATGGTAAACAAAATTTAAATTTGGTAACATCCTTCTCGATATTAATGACACTATTTTCATTTTTTAAAGCAATATATTATTTTTAACTTTAAATCACATTCATCAATAAAACATATCAAAAAAATTGAATATAACACACCATATTCAATTATATGGAGTGAATCATTTTAAATTTTGAATTACATTATATGAACGAAATTGGTTTCACCATGAAAATGTTTCGGTTCACATAATTTATTTGCAACAAGACCCGGTTTCACGTTCATGAAACCTGTTTCATTTTCCTTTTCAAAATTTATTTTCAAAATGCACCGGTNCTCTCTCTCTCTCTCTCTCTCTATATATATATATATATATATATATATATATATATATATATATATATATATATCCAGGAAGGGTATGCAGGTGATGTGGTCACATATCTCGATCAAAGACCCGTGAATCACACGTGATTTTAGTGTCACATATAACTTGGTACAAACCAGAACCAATCAAAAAATTTGAAAATTAGTATCAAATACAGCTGGTTGGTACATGATCTAAAATTTCACTTATCGAATACCAATTATAGTAGTTGGTAGAGGAATTTGGGAAAAAAAATTATAAATACCATACCAAGTCCACCCGTGCTTGTTTCCATATAAAACTAATGGGCCATTTACCTAACGCTTACCAGATGCGTAAGCATTTACTGGATGTCATTTATCTTTTGGAAGAGCATGACAAGTATTTAAAATCTTACATAGTAAGAGACATAACAATGACTGAGAATCTTACTCGGTAAATGAGAAAAAAAAACACTTACTAGATAAAAGAAACTTACCAACAATCTATTTTGATAGTCGAAGAGTAAGTAAAGAGTAAGTAAGGGTCGTTTACCAAACTCTTACCTGGATAAACACTTAGCAAGTCACATTATCTTATCAGATTAATGACAACGACCAATAATCTTACTTGCAAGAAACGATACTCTTATCGGGTAAGTAAAGACGACGACTCCTACCCAGTTAACGCTTACCGGGTAAACTTTTATATACAATACCGTTTTGAGAATTAAAATCTTATACGATAATTAAATGATAGTGTTGAATTTTACCGATAAACAAGTGCTATTAAAATTGATAGTATAACTTATAATCATATCATAAAAATCTCAATAAAATAAAATTACAAAAGGATCGATTTTTCTCTCTCCACTCCACTCCACTCCACGACCATAATAGTGATAGCCAGTGGCCAATAGTCCTACCTGCAATAATCGCAACCACCCATCGGCACCCTCCGCCACCGTCCGCCGCCATGGCCCAACACCAAAAAACCATCCAAGAACACCTCGCCCTCCAAATTCTCCTCGCTGATAGGCTCGTTAAGTCCGCCAAAGAAGTCGAATCCTCAAAATTCGACTGCTCCGATCTCGCTAAACTCGCCGTCCAACTCACCCATCTTCTGCGCTCCACCGCCCGCCTCGTCGCCGGCTCCGCCACGCCCACTTTCTACGACCGCCCACTTCGTTCCATCTTCTCTCATCTCTCCTCAAACCTCCACCGAGCCCAAACCCTTGTTCGCAAATGTAAGCATCGCAACAGCATCCTCCGTCAGGTCTTCGCCATTACAACGGCCGCGGACGTCCGCAAGGTGTCGAATCTCTTGGAATCCTCCATTGCCGACCTCAAATGGCTGCTTTCTGTTTTCGATAACAATGGTGTAAACCTCTCCCTTCCTCCCATTGCCAGCAACGACCCTGTTCTCGCTTGGGTCTGGTCTAACATTGCCGCCGTACAACATTCCGACCAACTCAAAGACCGAGTCGACGCCGCCAACTCACTCGCCTCGTTGGCCGGCGACAGCGACCGGAATAAGAAGATGATTATCGAAGAAGACGGAGTTCCGCCGCTTCTTAAGCTACTGAAAGAAGGAGCTTCACCGGAATCCCAAATCGCCGCTGCTAATACACTATTCAATTTAGCTGCCGATCAAGAAAAAGTCGCCGGATTTCTTCCATTCCTAGCTGTTCCCACCATTGTTAAAGCTCTTAACGATTCAACGACCGTTATCGTTCGAACAAATTTGATCAATTTGGTGTCGAGAATGGCCGAAATGGATTCATGGGTACAAGAGGAATTCGGAAAGGAAAATGTGATACGCCCAATCGTCACATTCTTGGCAAACGATAACGAAATTGGAAACAATGGCGGTTTCCGATCGAGTTCGAGTTCTTCGTTATCTTTCCGTGTTAATAAAGAAACCGATATCAGTTCGCCGGAGGAAAAACGGAAGCTTCAGATGAGTTGTGGGAGGGCATTATGGATTCTAGCAAAGGGGAGTTTGTTAAACAGTAGAAAGATCACCGAAACGAAAGCGTTGATTTGTTTATCGAAGCTAATCGAACACGAGACCGGAGAATTGCAGGCGAATTGCTTGATGACGGTGATGGAGTTGGCCACAGTGGCCGAGTTGAACGCCGATTTGAGACGCCAAGCTTTCAAGCCCAATTCACCGGCTGCACGAACCGTGTTGGACCAGCTTTTACGAGTCGTGAACCAGGAACATAACCCGAAGCTTGTGGTTCCGGCTATAACCGCAATTGGATCACTGGCTCGAACCTTTCCGGCTAAGGAGACTCGAGTAATCGGACCGCTGGTTTCGAAGCTCGATCATAACGTCAGTGATGTGCCTAACGAAGCGGTCATGGCGTTGACGAAATTCGTGTCTCCGGATAACTTCAATTGCGTGGAACACTCGAAAGCGATTATCGATTTCGATGGGGTTCCACATCTAATGAGTTTCTTGAAAAACAATGATAATTTCAAGATTCGGGTTCATGGGCTTAAACTGCTGTGTTATCTTGCGTTACATGTCGGTAACAGCAACGCTCTCGAGCAAGCTCGAGCATTGAGCGTAATGGAGGCCGCTGCTCGATCGGTGGTGACTCAGTATCCCGAGTTGAAAGAACTGTTCGCAAAGGCGATACACCATCTGAATCTTTACCAAGCAGGAACTCATACCCATATGCAGGCTTATGTACCATGATGACCAACAAAATCGGCTTTATAGAATGCCAAAGATGTCTTAATGTCCTAATAGACTGCTTTACAGGACTTTAAGTCCAGTGGTCATGTAATCTGAAGTCTTTTAGAACGTTTTTAGACATATTTAACGTCGTATAAAGCCGATTTTGTTGCAATGACCTTGTCGTCTTGTACATTTTGTAAATAGTTATGATCGGCGAGTGTTTAGTAGGATTCGAACCTGATGTCTTTGGGATACCGTAAGGGACGGCCCGATAAAATCAATCTTGATGTGTGTTATTTACATTTTGTGTTAACACGGAGGTCTGAGTTCTCGTAAATCGATCACCTTCTCATTTGATATTTTCCTCTCTATATATAGGGTTTGGTTCAGGGGAAAATCACACAACGATGAAAAAATGAGGATCATCGTAATAATCATTACAAATAATTTGTCCGGTATGCACATGTGTATGACACGAAGATGTACAAAAACCTGGAAAGATCTTCAATACTTGTATGCACAAGTGCATATTGTACATATGAATGATTATCACGGTTTTCTGGGTTAGAAGCTTAAGAAGAGATCTTCACCTTTGGATTAATCATAATCACGAACTAGATCAATTCCCTTCTAAAGCGTAATTCATGGGTTGGCATGAGATTAAAGGTTATGAAGGGTTCAAATCTCTTCTTACGCTTCTCAGCATAACTTCCCTTCTAACATGATCCTTTGTCTGTATGTGTGTGTATATATACGTAAATAGTTGGGTTTCGGTGAGAATGGAAATTATGGTAAGAAGAGTAACAAGGGGATTTCCACCATTGGATCAATTGTAATCGAAGATCAGCACTAGTGTGGTGCACAGAGATCTACCTGATCAATTCATGTGATAAGCGCAATTGATGGGTGGGGCCGTGGGGGTGAGATTAAAAGTGATCAATAGTCCATATCCTTTTTTATGCTTCTCATCTTAACTCTTATTCTCACACGAACCTTCGTCATATATATATATATATATATATATATATGTATATATATAACAAATTGTTGGGCCTTAAGAGCAGAGCCAGATCTCCCTACAGCAACCATTGTGGTTAGATTTCCATAAAAGATGACAGAATAATGAACGTATGTCACTGAATGCAACCATCTGCTAGCACAAGGAACCTGTGTGTGTATGTGTATATATATATATATATATATATATATATATAGAGAGAGAGAGAGAGAGAGAGGAGCATAGCTGAAAGAGTGTCAAATTCCTGAATATACTATACACCGGCTCAAATACCATGTTAGAATATGTTGAAAACCCTGTAAGTCTCTATCTAAAAAAGCCCTCATAGAGAGAGAGAGAGAGAGAAAGGGAGGTTTCTGTACATAGACGTTTAATGGTCATGTCTAGCTAATGTAGGACTCCAACATGCCCCCTCAAATGGAGGCTAGACATTACCCCCTTAGAACAGAGGGTGTTTAACCGTCTATCCTCTGTTTCAGAGGGCACGTTGGAGTCTCACATTGGTTAGACATGACCCATTAAACGAGATTTACAAGGGTTCCACATATCCTAACAGTTTCCGTCTGATCGTGCCATAAATGGACATGTAGATGATGAAATGTAGTTTATAAACTTGGTTTGATTCTTGATGATGGTTTTGATCACATTCATGGGACTATAAACCATAGAAATCAACAGTTAGATATGATTCTTTCCATGTTAAGAAACTAACACGAGTGTCTTAACTCTTCGTCTAACACAAAAAGGTCGGAAAAAAACTCTCTTTTCGAGATTAGATTCACGCCCACTATATCTATATAAAGATCTTACCCGTCTTCATCATCTTACTCGTCCTACGTCACAAAACCTCGCGTTTGAACCATCTTCCGTGGCGTTCTTCACTAAACCAACGTCCCTTTCGCTTTAAAGACGTCTATATTTGGGCGGTGAACTATCTTTTCGAGATTTCAAGATTCGACTCGTTTCTAGAAACTTTTCGTGTCAAACCCATAATTGGAACGACCCCTTTTTGCTGAGTAATTTGTTCGAAATCCCGAAAGAGAAAACAACAAATAAATGCAGTTGCTTTCAGCTGAGTTATGTTCTTCTGTGACAGTTTGTCAACTTAACATTCAGGTGACTCCACATTATTGAACTCCAATCCAATGTGAAAAAGATGATTCAATTAACCACAAGGGTGGTGCTTGATTGGTTTGAGCTTGGCTCCAAAAGTCAAAAGTATCTGGAGGTCCCAGGTTCAAATCCAAGGAGTTGTGGCCACGGAGGTTCAAATACGATGACTCCGGACTATCTGCAAAGTAGGTGGTTGCCCCGAGATTAACCGGTTCGCATAACGGGTTAGATATCCAGATTAATTTAAAAAAAAAAAAAAGATGATTCAATTCAAATTGGGCTCCTTTAATTTTACTGCAAGTTTTGATTTTTATGATGCATCTTTTAAATATTTCTCATTTATTATGGAATTTAAGGTGATTTAATGTTCTTTTAAGTGACATTTATGACACTTCGTCAACTATTCAGGGGTTGGCCGTTCTTTAACATGTTAAATGTGTGATTTTGAACGGTTTTAGGGTCCGATTTCACAATTTTTTTGGGGACTTTTATTGACGAATGTAAAACTATAGTCCATCTGACAAAATAATATCGCCTCTGTAATTTGTATGTATGTATCTTTGTTATCTCATTTTGCAGTCTAATCAAAAGTTTTAGGTGTAAGGCCTCCAAAAAGATTGGAACGTTCCCTGCCCTTTTGTCGGTCTCTGATGCCGACTGAGATTCTAATCCCGTAAGCTAAACGAGGGACTCTTAGAGGATGTTTACTACTTGCTTACTATCTCTTGTAAGATACGCTTACTTGGTCAAAGATGTTGTGTACCAAGCCCTCTTATCGATCCATGATGTTGACCAAGATACTGAACTGGTAATCTAAGGGAGGGATTCATAATCGCTCAGTGATTAGTGCTGACCCAGACTGCACCAATGATTACTGCTGACTCAAATCGCACACTCTTACTCAGTTAGAGTTTATCTAACCCGTGTTCATAAATGGTCTCTCGGGTTATACATAACTTATACTCAAACGGGTTTCTTGGTTCCGGATCCAAAAACCCACATCTAACAGGATGAAACCATTACCGTACGACTTAAAACTCATGAACTTTAAGTTATCATCAATGTTTTCAGACCGTTTTTTTGGAAAGTTTTGATATTTGTGAAGCATCTTTTTATAAATGTCATTAAGTGGGCAATTTAAAGTGATTATAATTGGGTGGGGGATGGCTTATTACTTTAAGCACAGTTGAGGAATAATGAAGGGGTGACTTTATTTACCAAGGCTATTATGTGCCCAACAACTTATAGCAAAAAGCTTTTGGTTTTTGTAGGGTTCTTTGCTGGTGAGCTTATTAAGACCAATTGTGAATTTCTTGGCTTTTGCCTTTCAACTACTCACCTGTCATTGTCTTCTTTCATGCCTACACATCGGTCTTGCGTGTGCTTCCGTTGTTCGTTTTCATGACGTCGTACGTCTTAACGAACCCCGTTTTCGCTTGCAATTTTGTCATGGATAAGCACCCCCAACACGGGTATTACGGCTATGTTTGGCAAACTAGCGGAGATAAGGTAGCTGTTGGCTAATAAGTTACTTAAAAGGACATGTTGAAAAGTTGCTTTATTCTAAAATACGAGGGGAATGGTTGGAAAATAGCGAAAAGAAGCCTCGGAGCTTATTGAAAACGTCATCTTAGGTAACTTACTGATTACCAAAAGAAACTTTTTAAATAAGCTCAAAACTTACGGTTGCCACATGGCCTTCGTGTACATACTCATTGTTCTTGCAACAACTACCTGTACACACAAAAGGCCCAAAGGGATGTGGTGGAATATCTCATCTGTCTTTGGTTTCTTACAGTCTCCTTTGTCGAGATACCCTTTTAACAAAAACCGTAGGATCTACGATATCGTTTTACGGGTGTGTTTTTTTTCTTTTTTTTTTTTTTATAAAGAAAATGTAAAAAAGAAATGGTGAATTTGAGTTCAATTATTTGAGTTATGAGTTATTGACCTTTTCTGAATAGCATATTTGGATGAACTCTTTCTCCACATTAGGGAACTTGGCCACACACCCCTATCTAAAGTGTGTATGGGCTCATATAGCTCAAATGTGGGTCCCACCTACACTTCTGAAAAGTTTCACTTTTTCCCAAAATCTGTGTCTTGTTTTCTGTCTCATGTTTTCACAGTCTTTGATTTACTTGGGTTTGTTTGATTACCTATGAGAAACTGTATAGGAGGGGATTGGACTAAACTGGACGAGAAAGTGAGGTAGGTGGATAAAAGAATCGTGGCAGCGATTTCAGGTTATAATGTGACAAGGGTAATTTAGTAATTTACTAAAATCTGACTAATGGGTTCGTCTGGTTAAACATGAAGTTACCCAGAAGGGAATCAGAGAGGACAAGATGGAACTGGAGTGGACGAGGTAGGTGAATGAGCAAGACTTGGTGGAAGGATTTAGGGTTTTAATTTGACAGGAGTAGTTTAGTAATTTCTCAATCTTGTCACATTTGTCTGGTTTTTGTCCTGCTCAGTTTTTGGCCTTGTCAGTCTAATGTCATGTCAAAACATGGGAGAGCAAGTTTATGTTATGTCATGTCATGTCTCACGTAGCAAATGGACTCTAAAGAACCTGGAATACCAAGCCAGAGTGTACGTCGAGTAGACAGTTATGGGATCATCGTGTCACGTTGTATCACGTTGCTTCCAAGATAAAACCAATAAAAGCAAAAGAATCGTCGCGTTTAAGTCATTCATTCAAAACGATAAAAACACCAACGTCGATAAAACACCGAGTCGGAAAACGGGAAAAATTACAATACGACACGCGAACTCGACACCTTTTAATATACGTCTTATTCGGGCCAAATTAAACGACATCAAAATGTTGTAACCCCACCCGTTTCAACAATCCAACAAAACTTTACAAAGCCTTCGTCATCTCTCTCTATACCGAAACAAAAACCCCAAAACCGAAAACCCGAAAAAAAAAAATTACATACGGTTCGATATAAAACTAGCTGTACGATTAATCGGGTAACTGTGCCCTGTGCCCATCAACCTTTTTTTGAGTTTATTTTGTTGATAAGAAAGAAAATAAATGGTGTATGTAAATTTACATGTGAATCAATCATATCTGATGGAAAACATCAGTGTATTCACCGGATAGTGACCCCATTGGGTACATATTGAAATCTGATGCATTATTGACTTGTACCTCGTGCATGTTTTGTTGTTCCCATTGACCTATGCACCCTTCTTCAGATTTCACATTGACGCCATTGAAATGGAACATTTCTCCTTCAAATGTCATCTGTTGAAACCCTGCAGAAAGGCTGTTATTCATCTGTGAACTGTTGGTGGTGCTTGAGCTATCTCTTGCTTCATTCATTATGAATGAGGTCGTTGTATTCATTTTCGAACCCGAATGATCCGAAAAACTTGCTAAATTCGGCAATGAAGTGTCGTAACCGGTTTGTTGGTATTGAGATAAGAGATTGGAGTTGTAGGTGATTGGATCGATGTCGGACTGGAATTCGACTAAGAATAGAGGGTCGCAGGCGGATTTGGTTAAGAACGAACCGGTGTCCATCGACGATGATGAGGATAAGATCAATCCACCATTGTTGGCATGAAAAGCTTGCTCTAATTCAGCTGCTGTCATTGGCATTGACGACGAAGAGCTCGGAAAAAACTCGGATTTTTTGTCGAAAAACTCGATCTTTTTCTCTTTAACGTCGTTGTTATCCGTCATCGGTTTGTGGGTGTTCGGATCAATCCCTTGTTTCATCAGTTTTTTCTTCAGACACGAGTTCCAGAAGTTCTTGATCTCGTTATCTGTTCTTCCCGGCAACTGCGCGGCAATTTGTGCCCACCTGGAGACCGATTTTAGCGCAATTTTCAACAAAGATTCAAGAAAAAATCGAGGGTTTTCGAAGGCGGATTGTGCGTTACCGATTGCCGAGAACTTGATGCAGATTGAGTATGAGATCTTCTTCTTGTTGTGAAAACATTCCTCTTTTAAGATCAGGCCTCAAGTAGTTTATCCATCTAAGCCTGCAACTCTTTCCACATCTTTGCAATCCTGCTTTTTGTTCAAGATTCCGAAATAAGTCAAAAGAGTTTCGAACTTTATATAAATAGAAACGTAGAACACCAAAAACCCGAGTCTTTTCTTGCGATTTACAATGAAAAGACTCGTTTTTTTGTGACGGAACGCGGGGGAATCAAAAACCCGAGTTCGTTAATGCAATTGGAACGGAAAAACGACTTGGTTTTTCCGTGACAATCACAGAAAGAATCCAACACCGGGGTCTTTTCAATGAGAAAAGACTCGTTTTCCGTAACAAAGAGAGATGGAATCCAGAAATGAAAGACCCGTTCTTGAAAAACCCGCATCTTTTTCGTGCAATTTGCAATGGGGAAACGAGACGGAATCCCGAAACAAGCAACGGGTCTTTGAGAAAAAAGACCCATTCTTGAAAAACTCGCATCTTTGCAATGAAAAAAACGAGACAGAAAATTCATGAAACAAGCAACGGGTCTTTTCTCAAAGACCCGTTGTTGAAAAAACCCGCATCTTTTCTTGCAATTTGCAACGAAAAGAACGAGACAGAAAGCCGAAACAAGCAAAGGGTCTTTTCGTATTGCAATTTACAGTGAAAAAGGATGCGGGTTTTTGGAGAAAGCGTACGAACCGGCGTGTTTAGGAACAGAACTCCAGCAACCAACGCCGAATCGGGTAATGTATTTAAGAAGCTTTTCATCTTCTTCAGGTGACCATAAACCCTTTCTGAGCTTCTGCTTAACACAACAAGAATGGCGACCCATTGAATTTGCAGGTGGTTAAAGAAGAAGCTGCTTGCTGTTGTTATCACTGCAAATATATAAGCAGGCAAAGGGGGATGGGAATGAAAGAGAGAGGGAGATTTATGGGATTTCAATATTAATTTCAAGTTTCTAAAAGCTTGTGTCTTTTTGTGAAGTGACCAATCAAGATTTAATTCATTTTAATTAATCGATTAATTATATATGTATATATATAAAGGGGAGCGTTCAAATAAAAACCACTTAATTTGTAAAAATTGTGAAAACCTCGTTCAACCAATCATAATTTTTCATTTTGTTATTTTTTTTGTAATTATGAGAGGTTGATTAACCATTTTTTATTGTGAAGGGTGTTAATCATGAATATTATCTTCATTATTTTAATTTTAGAGAAATACATGAAATAGTTTCATTAAAATTTCATTAAATATTATATGAAATAATTTCATAACCATATATGAAACAAATTAATCAAAAAAAGTATTATATGAAACAATTTCACAAGATTAAACAATTTCATGAAAAATTTTCATAAGATTAAACAATGAAATCGACGTATGATGGTGGTTTGTACGGTTTTTACAAATGAGGGTGGTTTTCATTTGATCGCTCATCTATGTATATATATATATATATATACACAATTGAGATCATGTGAGACCGGCCTGTTTTTGTGAGACCCACTTTTGTACACTTGAAACTTCACAGCAAAACGTTGTAAAGGTAGCCTTCATGATGTTTTTGTTGTGAATGTTCGGCTTTTTTTTACCTTCACAGCAAAAGAAGTTCAAGTGTAAAAAAGTAGTCTCACGGATTATCTCAATTTAACGGTTTACATGGGCTCTCCGGTTCTTTATTTTTCCATGTTTAAAATACAAACAAAAATCAATCAAGTGAAGTATTTATGAAAATAATTAAAATTCATTTATTGTGAGTTAAATATTTATGAAAAATGATTAAAGTTCATTAATTATGATCAATATTTTATATAAAGAAACATTGAAGATATTTATGAAATTAGATTTTTATTAGAGTAGATTGACGGTTGACATTTATATATATTTAGACTTGGGATCACGTGAGACTAGATGTTTTTGTAAGACACTTTTTTTACGCTTGAAACTTCACAGCAAAACGTTGTGAAGTGTTTTTGCAGTGAAGGTTCGGCTTCTTTTTATCTTCACAACGTTTTGATGTAAAGTTTCAAGTGTAAAAATGATGTCTCAGGAAAACAGTCTTGTATCACGTGAACCCAACCCTATATATATATATATATATATATATATATATACTTCAATTCTAAGTATGATTTTATTTTTCTTCTCATTTCTTAATTTTATTATATATATATATATATATATATATATATATATATATATATAATAAAATTAAGAACGCGCAATGCAGCGAGATAATCATACTTAGAATTGAAGTTAAGAAGAAGGAAGTAAGAAAGAGAAGAAGAATCAAGTGGGATTGAAGCAAATCATTTGAGGCCTTTGCATTGGATTGGATTAGATTTCAAGATATGTTTGTCTCTCTAATTTCCAATTATTATTATTATTATTATTATTTACATAACTAATTCTTCCTTTCAATTTTTAGCTTTTTCATTATTTTAACTGATTAAAAGTTACACAGATAAATCATTTTTATATATTATTTTGCGCTATATAATAAGAGTCTGTTTAATCATTCTGATCATTTAATCAGTGTGCACCAAATCATTCAGCAACTGTCAAACAACATCTAAAACTATAAAGACAAATCCAAACAGGGAAAAGAAAATAAATTCATATGGCCTTGCTATGCTTTACTACAAAGGTAGTCGTACAATACAACGAAATACATCCCGGTATTAATGTTTTGCTTTTATTTGTTTCTATCGATGTTATCATACGGTTTTATGTGATTTTGAGAAAACGATAATATTTTTATGTTTCAATAAAATATAAACTTAAAGATCTCATAAAATTTAATATATATATATATATATATATCGATATCAGTATCAAATTAACTATTCAAAAATCCTCGTTTTTTGTGTAATTTGTTTAATTCGATTTTTTATTATAACTTAATTTAGATTTAATAAGGAAATAATTTACTTTCAATTTAATAATGTAACTTTTTTGCAAATTTGTTAGAAGTTAATAATTATCTTAATTATATTTTAAAAAAGTTATATGTAAAATGAGATATTTATCATGTATTTGATTATGTTTATCTACAGTTAGTTACACAAATTCGAACATAGAACTTTAATAAGATGTAGTTATATACAATTTACTTGTAACCTTGAATTTTAAGTAATATACATAAATAAACATTATATAATACATTAAAAATGATTTTTCAGAGTTTGTATCAAATGTTTTATAATACAGTATATTAAATTTGAAAATGATTTTATAATATATTGTTATTTTAACTTTAACTTTTTAAATATAGTGTTAATTTTTAATTTAATCAAATTAAACATGTGATACCTTTCATAATTATATATATATATATATATATATATATATATATACTAGAAGCGTATTCGCGCAATGCAGCGAGATACATCGTGATTTTAATATTTTATTTTATTCTTTATCTCGGTCGATTTATAATATGGCTTTATGTGATTTTGAGAAAGCGATGATGTTTTTATTTTTGAATAAAATATATGTTTGAAGACATCATAAAAATTTGACAAAAATATATTGATATTAGTATCAAATTAACTATTTGAAATTCTACATTTTTTTTGTAATT